AGCAGTAGCAGTCATTTTTCTCCTCCTTGGTAGCTGGTGCAATGCTGTGTTTTGACTTTCGGCTTGGGAACAGAGCTGATAACAATAATGTTTTGGTTTGGCCAAGGACTTTGTGAGCCTCATGCTCTGCCAGGGAGGAGGGGAAGCCAGGAGGAAGGAGAGACGGGACACCTGACCCAAGCTAGCCAAAGAGGTATTCCATACCACAGCACGTTATGCCCAGGATGTAACTGGGATTTAGGCAGAAGGGCTGGTAGACTGCGGGGTCGGAGGAGGTATGGGTTGGTGCTTGGTCAGGCTGGGGGGGGGGGGGCGAGTTATTGGTTGTCTGGTGCTGAGGTGTTGTATTCTCTTCCCTTGTTATTTCCTTTATCATTATTATTATTGGTGGTAGCAGTAGTGATTTGTGTTATACCTTAGTTACTAAACTGTTCTTATCTCAACCCGTGGGAGTTGCATTCTTTTTGACTCTCCTCTCTGTCCCTCTGGGAGTAGGGGGAGGGCAAGAAGGCGGGGGGGAGTGAGTGAACGAGTTGTCTGGTTTGGTTTAAACCACGACAACCACATAGCTATTTTATTCTTTCCTTTCATTTAATTTTCTACTTTGCATCTAGGGAAGCCACTTTTTTCAGCTTGCTTTGGCTTCTGAGGAGTCTGGTTTGGGGTACCTGGTGTTTAAGGGCATTGCAGCGCCAGATTCAGAAATAAGACAGACCTGTTTGTATAACAGAAGATGTTTCTGTGCCTTGTATCAGTAGAAAATATCCCTGTGAACAGATTGCAACATACAGTCCACGCACTGAAGACATTTGGAGTTGACTTTGCCACTCCACTTAGTTCCCAGTGTTCACCAAGGAGGAGAAATAGGGCAGCAGCCCGCTCATATCTTTATCTCAAGGCACACGAAATCAAGATGGGCATCCTTACCCTGACCTTTCCGTCTGTGCTTTCTCTTCCAGTGCTGGAGGTGGGTGCTTCCTTCTACCATGCAGCCTCTCTCCAGCATGTATAATCCCTTTTCCTAAGCAGGGCTCTAGAAACAAGACTGTTTCTTGCCTTTTTCCTGCATTGTCAGTCATGGGTAGGTATTATGGGTCGCAGATTGCCTTGCTGTGTGATTACAGAGTAGCAGTAAGAGGGGTCAATTGAGGCATTTACAGTGCGCCTCCTTTGTTATGAGAAAAAGATGGATTATTTTAATGTGTTTTGCAGAAGCATTTCTAGGAAGATGCATTTGTGGAATGGTGGATTTTTAGAGATTTTTATTGTATACTTTGGTTGTGTGTGTTGTTCCTTTTGCTGTAGCATGGAAGGGACAATGGAGTTGCATATAGCTCCTCATCTCTTCGGTGGTTTCCATTTATTGCTGAACCTCTGAAGTCAGAGCATGAATACTGATTCCACTCAATTTATTCAGAAGCTGCTCTAAACTCCAGCAGCTGTTTTGTGCAGGAAACATTTCAAGAGAAGAAACTCACGTCCTAGGCTTAGCCAGTGAAAACAAGTGTGACTTGCTGCAAATGGACACAGCAAAAGTTACCACTGTTTCTCACAATTAGAACTAGGTCCTTAAATCTTCTTTCTGCAATGCTTCCTCAAATACTGTTGCTGGAGTCACGATATATCAAGATACGTGTGTACTTTTTCTTTTATAGTGGGAGTTGCTTTGTGCCAGTGAGGTTCACTGTGAAGTCATGCCACTTTTTCAGGTTATCTCCAGTTCAGACTGATGTCTAAGTAGTTGCATGCTGCTGTTAGCAGCAAATAGGCTCTGAATATCCAGTAAAGGTTAAAACACTGGAAATAACACAAAAATGTTGCAGGGAGCTGTTGGATGCAAATAAAGTTGTAGCAATAATAATGTGAGTATCCCTTCTGCTTTACACACAAATGGGGAGTGCAGCTGGCTGTCTGGGCTTGATCTAGCTGCTGGGGTCTGCATTGAAAGGGCACAGGGACAAGAGCCACATCACAGCCAAGGAGGAAGAGGCTCACAAAGGTGTGTGTGAGTGTTGTCCTGAAGTTCCCTCACATTCTGCGTGAGGCAGAGCCCACCTATCTCATGCATGAGACACCGCCATGGCATGGGGAGGAGGGAAGTTGTGTGAAGCACCACAACTTCTGTCCTCAGTGTTTTATGCATAAAGGAGGTCTCACTCAGGCCTGTGGTGTTTCTGTAGTCTCTGCTGTGAGCAATGGGTTGTGGCTTTGATCCTTGAGCCCTCGAAGCCGTGCTGGGCTGGCTTTGACCTGGAAGCCTAGAGGAGTCTTTGCCAGCAGGGTGGCAAGCACAGCCTGTGATCTCAATCTGCATGGCTTCTCCTGCAGCGTAGCTGCTCATTACACAGCATGGTTATGTGCTGGGTTTGGGGTTCAGCTCAGAGCACGCAGCACCCCAAGACAGGTTGTACATAGGGAACCTTAGCACTAGCTGTTCAGTGTGACAGCGTTCCTGAAGGCAGGTGAATTAGCCAGCTCTGGTACAAAATCTCCATGTACAGATAGTGAAAAAAACAGTAGCAGTTATCTCTTCCCTGGTCAAGAAGACAAAATCCGTACATTGCTTTTGGTTAATCTAGGAAGAAAAAAAAATAGTTTTATTTATTTTCAGTAACTCATTCAGGTAGAACGGGTAAGTAGTTTTAGTGTTGATTTATGAGCTGTTGCAAAATGCAAGAGCTGTTTATGATGGCAAATTTAATTGATCTTGACTCCAAGAATTTCAGTACTGCAGTGTTTTATTACAGAAGAATTTTCTTCATCTTCAGTCCTGCCATTTGAAGTAATAAAGACAGTTCACCTTTATGCAGCCCAAGAGGAGACTGCAAAGTCAGGTGGTGGGAAGAGAACCCAGATGTCCTGATTCACAGTACCAGGTCTGCTCTTCCAGAGGAAAAACCTTTCTTCATTAAAAAAAATAAAAAAATAATAATGCCCCCACCCGTCATGAATAATAATCCATGTTTTATCATGCAAATAGCAAGTAGTGTCTGGTAGGCTCATTTGTCTCATTTACCCCTCCATGGGAATTTGACCATGCCGGTAACTTGACCCCACCAGCCTACAGCAATATACTTGTCCCAGTGGGCCTTGACCATGGTGCTGACTGGTATCTATGCACCTTCCCATGGTGCAAAGCTTCCAGTAGTATTTTGGTCTTTCAAAACGAGTCTTGGTGCTGGCTGTAATAGCAACTGTACTGGATGATGCAGTCTTGAAAGAAGGATCTGTGTGTTTCTTAGATGACAAGTGATGACATTCTCCAGTCATTTAGATTTGGGGTTCCTGCTAGCAAATACTTGTACTCTGTGTAGCTTCACTACCTCTTCCTAACCCAGTTCATTCTCTTTCTCCAGAAGTAGCACTCTCATATGGGTGTTTGGCATAGCACAGGAGGAGCAGTGCAGTTTGTGTTTGCATTTATGTGTAAATCCACCAGAAAACCTTTTTATTCTTAACAGTTCAGATTCCTCCTCAGTGCGACTGAGTATTGCTGAACCACAGGATTTAGCATTGCTGCCTTTAAGTGCTGTGGGCCCATTTTCTCAAAGGTTTACTTCTTTGCTTTTCCTAATTAAGTATGAGTTCAGGGCCAAGCTACATCCCACTGTCTATTTAAGAAAGATAAAATGCCAGAAATCCTGCTTTGGGCCTGTGAAGTCAGGTCAGAAGAATAGGGCTCAAAGAACATACTGTATCCTGTTTTTCCTCTCTGTCTGAGTGTTTTAATATCTGCAGACTGGAGAGGCTTTGCAGTGTCGTCTCTGGTGTGCTGTGATATGCTGAGACACTGCTCCTGGGCACTGCTGCAGGCAGTATATTCTTCTCCTGTTCAACCCATTTTGGGCTCTTGGACGTCAGGCTGCCCTAGCTAATGCCTCTCAGCAGCTACAAGAGATGTGCTGGGAAGCGTGCTGTGCCACAGTCTGCCTTGTCAGTGTGGGGAGACAGGAGATGCAGTCAGTGGCTTCTCTGTGTGTCTCAGCTGGCACTGGAAATGCAGGTTGCTCTTACATTTGCTGACATGCTGGTACCATGTTTTGCTTGCACCAAGTCCCTTCATGACTAGGCATTTTGATGGTAGGAGGAATGGAGTGAAAAGGAGCACTCGGAAGGAAGGTTTCAACTGTGCTCTTTGTACTGAAACTATTCACTAATGACAAGAAAAAAATAATAATAAAAAAGAAAGCACAAGGCACCACATAGCTTTTTCCACACAGCTCAGTTTCTGTGTCAGCCTGGGTGTGCTGTGAGTCACACTGCGCCTGTTGACTGTACTTGGGGATTGCGCCTGGGAGCTGCCCAGGGATCCCCAAGAGAACCTGCTGCTGCTGCCACTTCTTCCATACTGTCTGTTCTGCCCCTCAGCCTTCCTTCCCCAACTTCACTGCAAACAGTCACTCTGTGTCAATTGTTACTGCTTGTGCTCTTTGTGTTATTATGCCTCTGCACAGGCGACGCATGAATCCATCACAGCAAAGACGGTCCTCACTTCCCAAAACCCACAGTCCAGCTGCTTCTTGCAGTGTCAATAGTCTGTAGCTCTAAGGGAGGATTGATGTTTGCTTTGGTTTTTCTTTTTTTATCTCTTATTTAGACACCTCTATCTTTCTTGTCACTGTGTGGGGATGCACATGCACCTCTAGCAGTGTTTTCATCCAAATTTTATCTTCCCACACAAGATTTGAGGGTTGAATTTTCTTGGAGCTCTCTAGGAAGCCTGGTGTTATGCAGGAATATCATATCCTATTGTCCTAATGGGAGATAAATAGCTTAGAAGAAATGTAAAAGGTATACAAATGAAAGCAGAAGTTTGCAGGTTCTCTAGAAATGGATATAGAATTCTTGCCCTCCTTTATAAAACTATAGTTTGCTTCCACTGAAAACACTACGTTTTTTCCTCTGATTTTAATGGAGCCAGGACCAAGGGCTGTGGAGAGCAGAACTTATTTTCTCCTTCAGACTTGCAGGCTAAGTTACCTTTTTCTTTCTGGCTGCAGAACGCTGTGATGACTGGGGTGTGGACACCATGAAGCAGATCCAGATTTATGAAGGGGAACCTGCCAAGATCAAATGCCCACTTTTTGAGACCTTCTTAAAGTACAACTACAGCACAGCCCATTCTGCAGGCTTAACCCTGATCTGGTACAGGATTGCACAGGACCGGGATCTGGAGGAGCCCATTAATTTTCGTCTCCCAGACAATCACATAAGTAAGGAGAAAGACACCCTTTGGTTCTGGCCTGCTCTTCTCAATGACACTGGGAATTATACATGCATGCTCAGGTAGGTTGTATGGTGCAGCTTCTATAAGTCTCCAGTGTAACTGAAGGAAGCAGGAAAATTATGCTGTTAGCACCAGATCTTTCTACAGGGAGAAGACCATTTACAAAAGCATTAATGGGGAAAGAATGTTACAATTATGAGACCGCTCAGTGTTGAGCCAATTTACTTTGTAATAATGCTTGGAGCTTTGCAAACACTAATGAGCATGCCTCTCCTTGCTAGCTGCAAGTGTCCGTGGAAAATATTATTGCTGAGCTCATGGAAAATTCCACAGGCACTCACCATTAAGAAGTGATCTGTATGTCTAGAGTAAAAATAGCTTCAGATGCAGGGGTAATGTTTTGACTGCATGCTAATTTGGCTAAGATTTATGAGGTTCAGACTTCTAGGAAATTAAGTGTCTCTTAGTGTGGTACAAGACGAACATAGCATCTGCTATGCAACTGAGCATAAGAGCTCTTTTTGATCTTCCTCACGTTGTCTCTTGTTCATTGTGTCTTTGACCTTATTATCTGCTTTACCAGTAGGGGAGTGGATGTTGCTTCTTAGTCATCTTTATAGGCTTTTCTGAGCTGTGTGGCCATCTCTGATGGAGTTTTTTCCCATATATAAATGAGTTAACTGAAGTTGTATATACCGTATCAGCGCTATGATGCTCATTATTGCAGATGTGATTTTTAGTTCATTGAACTGCTATAGGAATAAACAAGTTTTAGCTGATCATCAGCCCTATTCTCCTCTGTCCTTAGAAATACAACCTACTGCAGCAAAGTTGCATTTCCCTTGGAGGTTGTTCCGAAAGACCAAAACTCTTGTGTGAGCCATTCAATAAAACCCATTGAGGAGATGTTCTACTTGGAGCATACCAATGAGATCATATGTCCAGACATCGATGGGTTTTACCCCGCTAGTGTAACACCAACTGTCAAGTGGTACTTGGTAAGAAAGACTTATTTGGTCAGTTGGGGAATGCAGTGTTATATCTGAAAAAGCAATGGCTGTCATGAGGATTATAGAGCTAAGTTTTAGAGCCTCCACAGTGACAAAGCTGTTAATGAAGCTTTGTAATTTTAAGAACTTTTTTTTTTTCTATTGAGTTCAAGAGTAAAACTGCTCTTGGATGGAAGTTGAGAGCTATCACTGAAACCTTTTTGACAAGCATGAATAAGTGGAGAATAGCAGGAATTTAGATACCTCAGTTCAGCTGTGGGCAGTATATCTAACCTGTTGTATGAGCCAGTGGGTATCCCTGTAAAGGACACTGTGATTCATATTCCCATGTCTGTAAAAACACAAAACTAGTGAAAATAGCATTCTTTCCAAAATTTCAAAATTTCCAAGGTCAGGAAATGAAGTTTGTACATCAGGCTGCTGCAAGGACCATAAGTGCCTATTTGACACAATTCAGCAAACATCTTTTCTGAAGATTGAGACATTCCTGGCCCACCCTCCGTACTGCTCTGGTAATTAGGCTGTCTCCAGTCATCCTCAGACTCTTGCCTAAAGAATCACTGCTCAATGTTATTAAATTTTGACTTCAGCGTTTTTCTCTAGGTGGATGCCTTTGGTCAAGAGAGAATAAGAATTCTCAGGGGATGTGCAGCCAGAGGGTTATGGGTCTCAATTCTCTATCCACTTTTAAAGAGCTTCTGGAATTCTAGATAGAAGGTTCTTTATGAGTGGATTTAATTATAAAGGATGTTGACAAGAAGTATATCTTCTGATTAAAAAAAAAAAACAAACCAACAAAACACACACACACACACACACACACAAAAACCAGATAAAATGCCGAACAAACAAAAACAACAACAAAACACAACAAACCAAACAAACAAAAAACTCCAACCACCCCAAAAGAATAAAAACAATTCTAAAACCTTTCAGGAAAAAGTTCCTTTTGTATCCAAGTGGAGCAGTTTCACTCCAATAGTTGAAATCCTTTACTTGTCCCATTCAGTGAAATTCACATCTCAGCAGTCAATTAGTAGGATGAAACAAAAAGCCCCAAGGAAGTAATTTTTCAGGCAGCAAGTCATCCCATGCCTAATAAAAATCATTAAAAATGGTATATGACCCCTGTCTTAAACTGCACCATTAGGATGTATCTGATTTAGAAATGTACCATTCAGAAATAATCTCTTATAAAATATGCACATCTTTGGGTTTTACGACAATCAAGATGTCATCTACGTAATCCCTTCTGAAAAGAGATCTCTAGCTTGGTATTTGGCAGAGGTTTCCTGCCTCACCTGACAGAAAGAGAGGAGTTATTAAAGTTTTGGTGCTACAGATTCTCATTTGCCAGTTGCCAATTTTGGGGCCTCATCCTCAGCTAAAGTCAGTCAGGGTAGCTCGATTAGTCCCGAAAGACTGACATCAACAGGGGACATGTCCTTTAGTCTTAGTATCCATTTGTGAATGCATCATCATTTTCTTCCACTCTCTTCTTACTTTCATTCTGCTGAGGTGCTCACCTTGACTGCAAATGTACTTCTGGATCAGAGATCTGTCTTTTATGAAATTGTCTGTATTTGAGGTGGGATAAAACTATTAGGGTCATCTGTTTCTTCACCTCATTTTCAAGGTGAATACCAGTTTGTATTCCAACATGACTAAGTATTTAGGTCTGACCTACAACACAATCCCAAGTATCATATTCATAGTTTAAAAAATATCTTTGTAGTAGTGTTTAAGCCAATATATTTACTTTTGGATCCCAAAACTCAAGTATTTTTCTATCTGACTCCAGAACTGCAACTTGGTGGATGGCTTCTATGAGCGATACCCTCAAGGGACAAGGCTTGTCATCGGCATTGTCCGCAGTGTGTATAGAGGGAATTACACTTGTATTGTGACATTCAAGGACCACGGAAGAACCTATAATCTCACCAGAACCATAAACATGAAGGTGGTGGGTAAGAATAATTTTATAATGTGTAAAATGCAGGTGGATAACTGCAGAAGTGGTGAAAACAGCTGGAAGAGTCTGTCACAGGATCCATTTGTAGTTGTGCTCAATCTGCATTACCCAACTGACCCGGTATATTTTTGCTTGTTGGGGTCAGCCTTGTGTTACTGCCCATAGCATGTTGCATTGGAGGTCCTACCCACCACCATGTCTAAAGCCCCAAGAGACACAGCTTGTGACCAGGCTTAGGCTGGTGAGACACAGCCCATGAGATGGCCAGGGGTACCCTCTGCTGGCATATGAATGCGTAACCCAGGCATTTTTGCTCAGTTTTTGTCTCCAGTGCCCTTTTCTCATCATTGTTTGTGAGATTGTCCTATTATAGCCACCTTGCCTTGGTTTTCTTGGAATCCCCAAGCTTTATGTGCTGCGGCCGAGATTGTAAATTGGCCAGGCAGGGCTCCAGTTACCCAGCCCAGTGTCTAGACAGATATATCCCAGGCACAAGGGCTCAGCCAACCTGCCAGGGAATTGTAGACAGAATTTAAAAACCTAGGGAACAGTAGAGCACCTGCTGAGTCCCATGGCAACTGCTCCTTTAATAGCTGAATTAAATACTTGCAACAGGAAGTGATGAATTTATTCTGTTTTTCAGAAGCACCAGTAAAAAGAAACCAATACAGGTTGTGCCTTATAGGAGATGAGACGGTTATGGAGCTCTTCTGATGTCAAAGGCACAAAAACTTGTATATAGACTTACCTAAAATTTAGTGGAGCCTCAAAATCTGGGTCTGGCCAAGTCTGGGGACTAGGATTAGATTTCTCTTTGCACAGAACTCTGCAGCAGGATGATATCACAGGCTGAATTGGAGCGTGTGGAGTGGGGTGCAAAGCCGTCATGAGTGAGGCTGCAAGGACACCAGGTTCTCATGAAGTCCGATTCCCCATGGAGGGCTCTCTGTTCTCTCCTGCAGGATCTCCAAACAAGGCTTTGCCACCACAATTTGTCTCTCCAAATGAGAAAGTTGTCTACGAACTGGAAGCAGGTAAATTACAATGCTTGCTGCCTTCTGCTGCTGCTCTGGCAGCCTGCCTGCTGGGACAGGATGGGAAGACCCAGCCAGGCACAGAAGCTCTGTCCTTCCCCTGCATCCCCAGTGCTTTTGCTTTGCAGGGCACATGAACTGCCACAAAGATGCCTGATAGACAGGGTGGTGTGCCAGTTCTCGGTGCCAGAATAGGAAAGCTTTAAAAGTTTCTTTTTGCAAGAATAAATAAACAGCCATGGAGATGCAGGACTGCAGCTTTGGAGGTGGATGAAATGGGGATCCTCAGCTGCTTAAAGAAATTCCTGTAGGAGCATTTCTCAGCCCTGTCCCTGGATGTACTTTGTTCCAATCCTCCCTCATTCAGTCCCACAGTGGCTCCAGCATCCTGGCCACATCTTGCTTATCTCCTCTCCCTTTTTGGCCAATTACTTCCCAACTAATGACAGCTCTCCTTTTGCTGGCCTCACAGCATTGTGTAATGGGGTACCACACCACTTCCCCCACCCCATCAGTTTATACTGATAGCTCTTTGGAGCAATTCCCTTTGGAGCAGTGTCCTGTTACACTGCTGTAATAAATGTGGTGCCAATGATGGTTAACAGCACTCTTCACTTTAAAGCACAGTTTTTTTTGCTTAGGTCAGACTTCTTCTGTAGCATTCTGTAAGATAAAATCACTTATGGGGTGATCATAAAGATATTCATGCTCCCAGGCATGGTCTTGAAGCAAAGTTAAATGGCTGAACAAGTGTTCCCATACAAAAATGTTTTTGTGGAGCTGGATCCTTTGCCTTATGGCATGTGTCTCATGTGCAGTGGGGATGATTAACACTGCCTGGCTTTCGAAGGAAGTGGTTGGCATGGAGCACCTCCCTTCAGATGTGTCACTTGGTGCTGTCAAGGAATTTGTAACACATTTGAGAAGGCAGAATATTTTCTCCTATTTATTTAACAGTTTAATACCCTGTACATGTTGATTTATCAGATATCTGAAGGTGGATGCTGCCCTCATTCCCCTATAAAGGGAGGCAGAGCTCAGGATGGTAGGACCATTGGAAACCACAAAAGTCAGCTTGATGCTGTTCCTGCTTTGCCATATCACACCGTTTTCCTTTCTTCCCAGGAGATGACCTTGTTCTGTCCTGTGAGGTCTTCTTCACCTTCCTGAAGGAATCCCGGACTGAGGTGTGGTGGACCATAGATGGGAAAAACACAGGTGACATCACGGACCCAAAGATAAAAGTCACACAAAGGTAACACAGTAATGTGAGCCTTCATTTGTATCTAAACCTCTCTTGGGTCCTGCCAAGGGGAATGGACACAGACATGTGACAGTCCCATTTTCCCTTGCAAGGGAGTATGGGGTCCCCCAATTCCCTATTAACCAGAAACCCTTGAGCTTGCACTGTGCCGTGATGAGCCAGGAGCTCCAGGGAGGAGGCCTGCAGACCTGGATAGTGTCATGTCTTACAGAAGAATTTGAGGGAACTTCGTTTACCGATTCACATCATTCCTTGTCCAGGTCTTGGTAGTGGTGCCAACAGCTTGTGCTATTGTGGAACTGCTAAAACAGGAGCAGACACTATTTTATTTAGAGGAATGTTCCCAAATAGCTTTAATTATAAAAAGGTTTCAAAAAACAGAGGCTTAAAACAGAAATGTAGTATTATAGATAGTATTGATTAGAAGGAATAGGGATTCATTTATATGAAGAACTCATATGAGGTTCAGAATCCCATTTGCTGTGTGCTGAATTACAAGTGGATGGCAGTTTTTGCGCCAGCAGGTTTGCAAACCTATGTAGAAAAAAGAAAGGCAAAAGTAAATACTATTATCCCCATCTTGCAGATGAGCAATTCAGACAGAGAGACACAAACTGACTCATCCAGGATTGCACAGGGAATGTGATGTGGGCTCTAAATCCTGAGTTCACAAGATCTTGTTGCTTTGCAAGCAAGAAATTCCTTTCTCTAAAATGCAATGTGACACAGCTGCAATGAGAAAATTGAGGGGCAAAATAAATATTAAGGCAAATCAGATAAAGAAACAGCCCCAGCTCTGTTAAAATCTGAAGTGTGTATCAGTTCATAAGTATCAGTTTAGGTGGTTTGTGGTTTTAGGTTTTTTTTGGTTTTTTTTTTGTTTTTGAAAGAAAGAATTGGGTTACCTGAAGGAAAGGAGTGTTTGTCACTAAGAACATGCTGCACTTTCACATATGTAATGCTCCAGTTTTTCTCTTACAGTGAAATTACTAGAGATTTTGAAGACAAAACTATCATAAGGACTCTAACAGTTGCAAAAGCCACACCAGAGGACTTGAAACGGAATTATACTTGTTATGCCAGAAACGCCAAAGGCGAGGACCGCAGCCAGGCCATAGTGCGCATGAAAGGTAAAATACATGCAGATCATGGGTGTGACATGAGGCATGCTCAAAAGCCGTTGGTTCTGCCTTGAGCCTTACCCTGCAAAACAGCAGGGGAACAAATCATTCCATGAGGCCTTTTTCCCCAGCACACTGTTCTGTACATTACTGCTGTCATACTGCACCGCTTCTTGGAGGCAGGGAGCCAAGGATGCATGTCACATATACCCTGACGCAGTTAAGTGCGTGGGAAGAGAGAGGGGCAGATAGACCTGTTTCATCCCATCCATGTACCACAATTGAAGCAGATCTGTGGGGACAGGCTACTTGAAATTATTTTGGGTTACTTGATTGTGTGAGGGTTTTGTGTGACACAACCCCAGAAGGCAGACTGCACCCATTGATTTTGCTCAGGGAGTGAGACTGTCTAACCATGATGCTCTGATTTTACTCCTTCCCATGATGATGCTCCAGTCTAGATACTGTCATCCCAGCATGGATGGTATGGACTGATACAGGTGGACTGATTCAGTGTGGGGTTTTCCCTACGTCTTTCTTTCATCAAAGACTTTGTTCCTGTTTCCCAGACCACTTCTCAGTAATAAAAACTGAGTCTTCACTATAGATATGTGAGGTTTCCTGATTAAGGTGGATACTTCTACCTCCTTATCAACCTCATCAGAGCTTCAATACTTGCTTACTGTAGGTTGAACCTCCCCTCTCCCATAAGGGATGCTGCCCTGCCTTGTGTACCTTCTTCCCCTGACTCTGCCTTATTAACATGGGAAGGCTTACAAAGGTCTTTACTTGAAGAGATCTTTCTCTTCCTTCTTGGTACTTGTCTTTCTTCCTTTTTAGTCCCATTCCGTTGATACAAAACTTTTCTGGATCATTAGCAAGGAACAACAGAGCAAACACAACTGAGTCCGAAACCATCTGACAGTGTATTCATCCTACAAATGTAATTAATCTGGGATGATATTTATGCATGTAGCAGAAGTGAATCTAAAAACTTCAGATTCTTTCTCTATACACCAGTGCCTAAATGCTGTTTTCTAGTGGGCTGATCTGTACTCTCTTCTTCCACTGTCGAGTGGGTTTGCTCTGAGCAGACCTGGTTACTCACCATGCCTCCTTTCTGCTCTGTTCTACAGCAAAATCTAAGAACAATCCCTAACCACTGCTGGCAGGGCAACCTTAAACTAAGTTCACTGTAGACCATCCCACAGCACACAAGAACATCAAGCATGCCAGAACCTAACCCCTCAACACTTGTCTTCCAGGTTTTAGTGAGTAACTGTATATATTTTCTGTATATAACTATATATATTATATAGTGTATATTATAGTGTATTTTGTGTGTATATATATATACATAAGAACAGGAAAATGGATGACCTGGGAAATTACAGACTAGTCAGTCTCACCTCCATGCCTGACAAAATCTTGGAGCAGATTCTCTTGGAAGGCATGCTAAGGCTCATGAAAAACAACAAGGAGCTTGGTGACAGCCAGCATGGCTTCACTAAGGGGAAATCCTGCCTGACCAATTTGGTGGACTTCTGTGATAGGGCTATGGAACTGATGGACAGGAGCAGAGCAGTTGATGTCATCTATCTGGACTTGTGCAAAGCGTTTGACACTGTCCCACACGACATCCTTGTCTCTAAATTGGAGAGACATCAATTTGATAGGTGGACCACTCGGTGGATAAAGAACTGGCTGGATGGCCGCACACAAAGAGTTGTGGTCAATGTCCAGCTGGAGACCGGTAATGTGTGTTGTCTTTCAGGGATTGGTGTTGGGACCGGTCTTGTTCAACATCTTTGTCGCTGACATGGACAGTGGGGTTGAGTGTGCCCTCAGCAGGTTTGCTGATGACAACAAGCTGTGTGGTTGGGTTGATACGCTGGAGGGAAGGAATGCCATCCAGAGGGACCTTGGCATGCTTCTAAGGTGGGCTGACGCAAGCCTTATGAAGTTTAACCATGACAAGTGCAAGGTCCTACACCTGGGTCGGACAGCTAGGTCCCAGGCACAGCTACAGGTTGGGCAGAGAAGAGATTCAGAGCAGCCCTGTGGAGAAAGACTTGGGGGTGTTGGTTGATGAGAAAATGAACATGAGCAGGCTGCAGTGTGTGCTTGCAGCCCAGAAAGCCAACCGTATCCTGGGCTGCATCAAAAGGAGAGTGACCAGCAGGTCGAAGGAGGTGATCCTGCCCCTCTACTCTGCTCTCGTGAGACCTCACTTGGAGTATTGTGTGCAGTTCTGGTGTCCTCAACATAAGAAGGACGTGGAACTGTTGGAACAAGTCCAGAGAAGGGCCACGAGGACGATCAGGGGACTGGAGCACCTCCCATATGAAGACAGGCTGAGGAAGTTGGGGCTGTTCAGCCTGGAGAAGAGAAGGCTGCATGGAGACCTCATAGCAGCCTTCCAGTATCTGAAGGGGGCCTATAGGGATGCTGAGGATGGACTCTTCATTAGGGACTGTAGTGACAGGACAAGGGATAATGGGTTAAAACTTAAACAGGGGAAGTTTAGATTGGATAAAAGGAAGAAGTTCTTTACTGTGAGGGTGGTGAGGCACTGGAATGGGTTGCCCAGGGAGGTTGTGAATGCTCCATCCCTGGCAGTGTTCAAGGCCAGGTTGCACAAAGCCTTGTGTGACATGGTTTAGTGTGAGGTGTCCCTGCCCATGGCAGGGGGTTGGAACTAGATGATCTTAAGGTCCTTTCCAACCCTAACTATTCTATGATTCTATGATTGGCTCCAACTCCTTCATTAATTGGGTTATATAAGTTTCCTGCTTTTTCTGGATTAACTTCCCTCTTTCTCATGTACTTCTGCTGCTCATCACCTGTTGAAAGTTTCTTCCTTTCCTCCTAAATTTCTTCCATTTTCTTTCTTGTAATCCAGTTTCTAACAGAACATATTAAATCTTGGAATTTTGTGGTTTCCAGTCACTGCTGTTCTTTTATCATGTAGTTTGCCAGTATGCATGTCAGCTGCCATCTGAATTGCCATAAAAACAGAGTTGCCCAGGGATACAGTTAGAAGAGTTGTTTTCTGTCCTTAACACAAAGAAGCAGCAGTGGTGTAATAGACACTGTATGAGTTGAAGGGGGGCCTGTAATGTTCTGGCTTGACGTCCATAGGTTTTCCTATTTATTTTTAAATATTTCAGCTTTTCTGTAATGAACTCTGATTCATCTTTCCTGGTAGAAAACAATCAGACTGTAGCTAGTTACATCCTTGCTGTCAGTCTGAGACAAGCTACAAGAACTTTATGGCTTTGATGGGCTAAGAAAATGGTGGCCATTGCCTTCGTTTTACAGCAAGTCAGCTTTGGCTGGCTGTCCTATAAGTAAGTGCTGTAGTGTTGTCCCAGGTGTTTGCATGTACTGCTGAGAAGGTTATGTTCACCAACTGGCTTTGGACCATGCAAGTGGTTTCCATCAACAGATCATTCTACCATCTGGCTGCTTGCATGGTCTTGCTCAGAGACAGAAGTCCAGCCTGTGCTTTGCCTTGCTCTGCCAGGCCAACCAGACCTAGTAACCCCAAATGGGGACTCCAACGTTGCCGTCCATTATGTCCTGCCAGAAAAGTCTTGGCTTGGCCAGCTTGACTCCTGTCTGTTCCTCTGTGGTGTTTGGCTACATGTGACACAAGCGTTCTCCTGCTTAGCTGAAGGCCTAACCTGCTCTGTAAACCATACCTCCTATTTGTTTTTGAACCCAGCTGTAGCACCGAAGTACACCGTGGAGCTGGCCTGTGGACTGGGAGCAACCATCCTGCTCATTGTGGTACTTATAGTCATCTATCACGTTTATTGGCTTGAAATGGTCCTCTTCTATCGGGCTCATTTTGGAACAGATGAAACCATTCTAGGTAAGGAGCTAAAGGGCTTGCATTTATTTTACCCTGCTACAGGCCAGACCCTTTGTTTTCATAAAGAAGTGTTCATATAAGCTATTTTTAACCCTTTTCACAGCATAATGACATTTTGACCTTCTATTTCTATACCTGTATTCATTTGTGTGGGTCATTTTAGAGCAAGAGAAGTCAGGTTTGGGTCAGGGGAAAGGAGAGAGAAGTCCTCTGTATTCCCTGCAGTGGTAAAGCATCAGGCTCCCTGGGGCACTGCCCTGCTGATGGCTAGCTGTTTCATCTGATCTAGAAGGTCAAAATAAGTTGACAAGTTTCAGTAAGTCCCTGGTTTCTTTGATGAAAGGATTCTTTGAAATCCAGGATTTGCTTTAAAATGTGGGAAGGCATCCAAAGGGATGGATCTGGAATAACTTTTCTGTCCTCAGTTCTTCCACAGCTTCCCTATGTTGCTGGGAGTTCATCTCTTAGGACTCAGAGCTGAGATTTCTGACTCTGTAGGATAAGGAGGGTGTTCAATTCCTCGCAGCTTGGGGTGTGAACCTGCCATGGGGGTGCTTGGAGGGTGTAGGCAGGGTGCAAGTCTCTGTCTGATGGAACTGCTCATGTGGATAGAAAGCAGTGAGAAAAAGCAATGTCAGAGATGTCAAAAGACAAAAGGACCCTGAACAGAATGTGTTAGTCATCTTGCTGTGGTCTCATGCCTTCAGTGACCCATCAGAGTCTGAGTACCTGCATGTTCATGGGGGGTAGTTAAAGAGGCAGTGCTGCTGCCTTGTAACTATGTGTCTTAATGTAAGGTGCCCAGGCTTAAAGTGAGCCTTCATATATTTAGTGAGTTTTTACTGCTTTTCCCATGAAGCAAGTCAAAGGCTCAGCATGTGCAGTATTACAGGTGTATCTTCTGCTATTTGTGTTTCTCTGCACTTCCAATGCTCAGACGGGAAGGAGTATGATGTGTACGTGTCCTACGCACGCAATGCTGAGGAGGAGGAATTTGTGCTGCTGACACTGCGGGGAGTCTTGGAGAATGAGTTTGGGTACAAGCTGTGTATCTTTGACAGAGACAGCCTCCCCGGGGGAAGTGAGTATTTCACAGGAGCTGTGCTCCATGCACACCCTCTCTTTATTGTTCTTTGATGTACTGAAAACTGATAGGAACTGGCCTATCCAGATTAATTTTATTCTTTATTTTTTTCCCCATCTCTATTAATGATCTCTTTTTGATATCTTCTAATGTGTTTGCTTCACATGACAATGTTGCAGATGCTCCAGACCACCAAAAAGGCTGTGGTGGGCAAGTGGTGGTGGTTAGTTGTTTTAGTTGCTCTTCCCAGGAGTGATGTGCAGGAGTGATTGATCTATCAGCATGAGGGGATCAGACTACTGACCATGCAAACCGCTGATCTGCCTTAAAAAAAGGGAATAAGGTCAAAGCTAGAAAGGAGGCAGGGGATGTGTGATACTGACCAGACTGGTAGCTCACAGAGTGCCTGCAAAACCCAGGAATGTCTGTTTCAGGAAGGTGTGGAAAGCACCTTGCCAACATCAGTGGCAAGATAAAGTGCCCTCCCAGAAGGCCTCCCACTCAATTTCATTAGAGAGTCTATATCTTGACATGGCATACAATTGAGTTGCTATGATTAAGAGTACTTTGCAGGTAGTGAGAATCATCTCTTCACTAAGATGTAGGATTTTCACTGTTTCAAGCTAAATCGTACAAGCTTCTGGGCACAGCATCTCCTCAAGGGGTGCAGGGAATCACCAAGAATGGAAGTTTGTGAAGCTCTCCAGATATGCATACAGTTACACAGGTGACACAGAAAGGGCACAAATCTAGCCAAGACTCTCAGTTTCCAGTGTCCTGACTGTATTATCCCTGATGCCTACTAAAAATTCAAAACCCGAGCTTTTGCCAGTGCAGACTGCCCTACTTTGAATTCATGTGCTTTGGGTCAGGTCCCCACAGATGACAACCTGTGCTGATAAAGTTCATTGGGGTCCCTTTCGGGTAGGACAGGGGGACTGCTGGGAGTCCCAACCCAGCTGTGTGACAGAGGGAGCAGAATCAGTCTGGGATCTGGGATCTGTTATCTATCTCCTAGACTGTTGCCAGGACACAGCATCTCTAAGTTTGAAGGAAAATAAATATATGTGCCTCAGGGGACAGGCACACAGCTGCAGTCCTGGTAGTGTTGCTTCTAGCGAGAGCCTGGATGACATGGCAGGGCACCCTCCAGGCTCTATTTGCTTGATGCCAAGGTCAGGCTCAGAGCCAGTGAGCTGTTCTCACAAATTCCTCCTCAAGTCATACATCTCCCTCCTGTTCTTTTTGCCACTTCTTGCCATCCTTCCCTTCTCTCTTTGTAGAGTCTCCTTTTCCTCCCAGTGCATCATTTCCGGGCTCCCTGCCCTTCAGCCTCACCCCTGGAGTACTCCCACCCCTGATCAGTGGCAGTGACTGCCAGTCTCAATCCAGCACCAGCCCTCCAGGGCACTGCGGGGGGTGGCTTGTCATTGCACTGCCATTTGCAACACTGCTGGGGGTTTCCCATTGCTTCTTAGCTAGGATTTGACTCATTTTCTTGGGGAAGCATGGTGGCCAGGAAATAAATAGCTTTTGGCAGCTGGTGTCATGCCTCCAGAGTGTGCATCTGTGTCACAGGAAGAGCTATGTTGTCATTGATGAAGAAACAGTGGGAAATGGATTATCCTGCAAGTTTGCTAATGGGAACTAATCAAACTTGCTTGACAGCTAAATGAAGTTGCCTGTCAGCGTTATTCTATTCTTCATTGTATTTTCTAATCAGTCAAGAGCGTTCCCTTGTCAATGAAGTGTGGGAGATCCTGCAGCAAAGAGTGCAAAGAGGATTTGCACTTGAAAGGGATTTTCACATTAATTATAGAAAAGTGCCTAAGGACAGTCTACCTGCTGATGTTAGAAAATCCAAGAGGATCCACAGTTACCATGACATGTGTCCAGCTTGAACGGTGTCATTTTTGGGACACTTTATTAACAGTCCTCAGAGCTTCTAGCAACTTCTCAATTCTAGCAACGCTCAAATCTGCGTTCATCAGTGATAGCAACAGGAACAGCTGGATGAGTAGCAGGAGTTAGGATGGTAGTATTTCCAAAGCAAATTAACCCATGAGGGCACTCAGGGAGGGTGTGAATACTTAGAGTTTGGTGTGGGTAAACCGAGGCAAGATGAGTGAAGGGAGAACCCAGAGTCATTCTGGACATCTGCCAGAGAAGGATATAAGTAGGCATTTGGGCTTCCTGATGCCTCTTCAGGCCGAGTCTTTTCCAGCTGGCAATTTTTCTGTTTTGCTTCAGAGCCTCTTTTTCTACTCTCACTACAAGGAAGCTAAATCTGAGCCTACCAGAGCAGCCCTCTTGGCCCCATAGCATTCTTGTAGCATTGGGTAGTGTCATTGATGCATAGCTACATCTAAAAGGTACTGTTCTATCTCAGGCATCTGTGTGGCATGGGGGGAAAGAAACACATATGCAGGCAGCCTGGGGCTGGGAGTAGAAGATGTTGTTGAATATGTCACTGTATGGGGCAGTGGGTACCAGTGATGGTGTAGGAGGCCCTGCCTGGAATCACTTGCAGGGCTGGGAAACACCAGTATAGTATCTAGAGAGTGCCTTCAAGGGACTTGATTTTCCTCTTCAAGAGACAACCGGGGTGACACTAGCAGCTCAGCAGCATGTTCTCATCCATCACTAACCACCTCAATGTTTCTTTCTCCCAGTTGTCACAGATGAAACCCTGAGCTTCATCCAGAAAAGTCGACGTCTGCTTGTTGTCCTGAGCCCCAACTACGTCTTGCAGGGAACACAGGCCCTGCTGGAGCTTAAAGCTGGTCTAGAGAATATGGCCTCCAAGGGCAACATCAAAGTCATTCTAGTGCAGTACAAAGCCATCAAGCAAAGCAAAGTGAAGGAGCTGAAGAAGGCCATGGCAGCCTTGACTGTCATTAAATGGAAAGGCGAGAAATCCAAATTCCCAAAGGGCAGGTTCTGGAATCAGTTGTGGGTGGAAATGCCAGTGACAAAAATTAGCAGGAGTCTGAGCCTTGATGGGCTCATATGTACCCCTGAAAAATGTTTGACACCATCAGAAATCAAAACAAAACAAACCCCAGAAATCCACAAGTTAGGCCAGGGAGTGCAAAGAAACTCAGCCTTTTTCCCATAAAGGACTGCCCCGAAGCATTTCAGAGAATAGTTGTGCCTCCCTGCAGCTCTTCTACTGCCCTGGCAGTAGAGACACCAAAGATACATACACCTCCTCTCTGCAAATGCATGTCCTTGTCATTAACCACAAAAGCCCTCAGCTCAGGGTTGAAATTTGGGCTGTCCAGGTGGGATGCAGTCAGCACCTTGTGATAGCATGGTATTTGTATAGGCCAGTGCTCCTAGATCCAAATCCTATGGGACCTTCATTAGCTTCCAGGACAGAACTCCTTTTTTCTCTGAAGTGGCTTCAGTCTGTCCTGGTCTCTGGTCCCCGTTGCAGAGGCTAGGGAGAGCAGTTTGAAAGGTGGCTCCAGTATAGAGCCTTTCATACATGTCCCAGCTATATAGTCCTGATTACTGTGAGATCACAGTTCCGCTTCAGTGGCAGGATTGCAGACTCTTGAGGCTCCTTATCTTTGCTCCTCACATTTCTGAAGGAGCAGGTGCATTCAGATAGTTTGGCAATCTGAAATGGCTGTTACAAATGCATTTAAAAAACAAAACCCAAAAAAAAGCTCTGTACTGTAGCATTTCTACTAGTAAGTGGTCAGTCTCTGTGGCTCTGCAGTCTCCCAAGTATCTCACATCTTTCAGAGCTGTAATGCTCAGAATCCAGGGGAAATTTCTTGTTAGTACAAACCATGGAGCATGTCTAAGGCATGCATCTTTGTAGAGTAAACTCAGGGATTTCACAAGCACTGTAAGGAACTCCCATTTACTACTTGCCCACTGTCCCTGTGCAGCTGGCTGGGGGAAAGCATCATGCAAGGTGCTGCCAAGGCCTCTGGGATGACACTGGTATGTGTCCAACTCCCCAGGAGACCCTAAAAACTTATTTGAACTTACTAAAAACTACACTAGCTCTATCCAGCTGGGTAAGACTATGAAGAAAAGCTGAGAGAGCTGGGGTTGTTCAGCCTGGAGAGGTCCAGAGACCTTATTGTGGTCTTTCAGTACTTAAATGGGGCTTCTAAGAAAGATGGGCACACACTTTTTAGTGGGGCCTGTTCCAATAAGACAAGGGGTAGAGGTTTAAACTGAAAGAGAGGAGATTCAGACTAGATTTAAGGAAGAAAATTTTACAGTGAGGGTAGTGAAACACTGGCACAGGTTGTCCAGAGAGGTTGTAGTTGCCTCATCCCTGGAAACATTCAAGGTTAGGTTGGATGAGACTCTGAGCAATGCAGTGATCTAGTTGTCCCTGCTCATTGTAGGGTGGTTGGACTAGATAACCTTTGAAAGTCCCTTCCAACCCAAACTATTTTATGATTCTGTGACGATTTGGTGTTCTCTGCCTGCATATGAAAAACATCACCATTCCTAATGCAGGGCTCAGGTTTAACCTATACTTAGCTTTACAAAGTAAGTCTCCACCTATCCTATTTCAAGCCCAGAGTAGCAGAATAGACGATGTATCTCAGGTTCATTAATCTTTGCACAAAACACAAATATAAAAGTCACTGAGTACCAGTCCTTGCTTCAATGGGAGGCAGCAGGCACAGGAGGGGATCTAGTGAGTTAACCCTGCAAGACCAAGGAAGGAAGTGTCCCTTCCCCTGTAGGACAGACAAAGCACAGCGGGACCCTGACATTGTCTGGTACTGTTGTTGACAATGTTTTCACATAAAACTATAAGCTCTGGGGGTGTCTCCATACTCCTACAGCTCCCAGTGCAAGGTCCTGCCCACTTAACTGTGGAATTTAGTATTACACACACTAAGTGCATGCTTTTTTTTATTGATAATGATTGCTCCTGAGTCACCTCTGACTCATGCTTTCACTCTGTTGGTGTCTGTCAGGTGAAGCATATCCATTCATAATGGCATTAAAAAAGCACTATGATTTGCAATCTACATGTTATTCACCCAGCTGAGCAGGAAGGTTTGAGGGCATCCCCATAAACAGCCCAGTCTTAAAGGTGTGGGCTGGATCCTGACATCAGTGAAGCCTCTTGCTCTTAGCATCTTATGATTATAATGTTATTCCAGGGCACCAGGGAGCTGCCATTGGGCAAGTACTGTACAAATATGGAACAAATAGGGCTTCTTTCTCACCTTCTTCATCCTCCCCACCCCAAGTAAGCTTTGCTTTAAGCAGGTTAAATTGCAGTTAGCTTCACTGAAGGCAATGGAGCTTCTCATCTGCTCAGAGATGCTTAAAAGCTTTGCTGTTACAAGCTTTTCTACTATGTCTGTGGAGGGACAGAGATGCCTCCCACACTCCAGAAAGCTTCATTTGTATTAGATAACACCCAAAACCATGCTCAGTTTTATGAATCGCTTGCAACATGTCATTTTGCCCAGCTTCCCCTTTTTTGTGTTTTCAGCATCTCTGTGATCAGCTGCCCAATCTGCAGGCAGAGGGAACGCCCTGAGGCTAAAGCAGAACTGTGTTAGATTCCAATTTGATTTTTAAAAAATTGTCACAAAAATACGCATAAATTCAATTAACATCCCAGACCTCAGCACATCACATTTCATTTTTGGCTGAGTTACCAAGAGAACTGCTGATGTTTTAGTAAGTCTGATTATTTTAGGAAGTTAAATCCACCTCATTTGTTTGGCTGATTTTATTCAAGGGATTTTCCAAATAAGTAGTAGGCCAGGATTTTCTCCAGCATACGTTGCTTTGGTCCTTGGTGCCATTGCAACCCCAGAACAGGATTACTGAGAGGCATCAGAAGAGCACCCAGAAGGCAAAAGGTGTGATGGTCTTAAGGGAGCCTGAGAGGTCCAGAGGGAGCAGCATAGAAGGAATACCACTGGAGCAGGCTCTGCTCCCCTGGAAGCTTTACCTCTGGCTTTTCTGGGAGCTGTCAAGCCAGGGGTACAGCCCAGTCCCAGCTGTAACACAGATCTGCAAAGCACCTCATATATGCTTGCCCTTTCATTGTATGCCATGTATGGTTTCCATTGTGGGATTCTGTCACAACATGTTTACTTCAGTTGATTCATTCGAATTCCTGTGCTCTAATCTAACATTTATCAATATGCAGCTCATACAAAGTTCCTCATTGTTATTTCATGGGGAAGCAGTGTGGCATAAATTGCAAAAAATACTTTCCCCATGCCATTTGATGTTGTACAGATGTTCCGGAGTTTTCCATTCCATTTCTGTATGTTTTTGCCTTTTTGTTATTTGGTCTGTGACGTGTCAGTATTATAGAATCATAGAATAGTCAAGGTTGGAAAGGACCTCAAGATCATCTACTTCCAGCCCCCCTGCCACGTGCAGGGACACCTCACAATAAAGCATGCCACGCAAGGCATCGTGCAACCTGGTCTTGAACACTGCCAGGGATGGAGCATTCACAACATCCCTGGGCAACCCATTCCAGTGCCTCACCACCCTAACAGGAAAGAATTTCTTCCTTCTATCCAATCTAAACTTCCCCTGTTTAAGTTTTAACCCATTATCCCTTGTCCTGTGTCCCTAATGAAGAGTCCCTCCCCAGCATCCTTATAGGCCCCCTTCAGATACTGGAAGGCTGCTATGAGGTCTCCATGCAGCCTTCTCTTCTCCAGGCTGAACAGCCCCAACTTTCTCAGCCTGTCTTCATATGGGAGGTGCTCCAGTCCCCTGATCATCCTCATGGCCCTTCTCTGGACTTGTTCCAACAGTTCCATGTCCCTTTTATGTTGAGGACACCAGAACTGCACACAATACTCCAGGTGAGGTCTCATGAGAGCAGAGTAGAGGGGCAGGATCACCTCCTTCGACCTGCTGTTCATGCTCCTTTTAATGCAGCCCAGGATACGGTTGGCTTTCTGGGCTGTAAGTGCACACTGCAGCCGGCTCATGTTCATTTTCTCATCAACCACCACCCCCAAGTCCTCCACAGGGCTGCTCTGAATCTCTTCTCTGCCCAACCTGTAGCTGTGCCTGGGATTGCTCTGACCCAGGTGTAGGACCTTGCACTTGGCATGGTTAAACTTCATGAGGTTGGCATCAGCCCACCTCACAAGCGTGTCAAGGTCCCTCTGGATGGCAGTCCTTCCCTCCAGCATATCAACTGAACCACACAGCTTGGTGTCATCGGCAAACCTGCTGAGGGCGCACTCAATCCCACTGTCCATGTCAGCGACAAAAAAACAAGACCGGTCCCATCACCGATCCCTGAGGGACACCACTCGTTACTGTTATTATTTTATTTTGCTTTATAATAATTTTATATAATATACATAATTTTTTATTATTATTTTTATATTTTATTTTGTTTTTCAATAAAACATTTCCACTTTTGCATTTCATTCCTTGTGCATTTCTCATCATTTTCCTCCCCATTATGTTTGCAAAAGGCCATTAAAGAAAGATGACTCTGTGTAGTCCAAGCATCAGGATCATCTGGGGACACCTCCTTAGTGATGGGGCATTTTCTTGTCTGTTTCATGGTGTGCCTGCAGATATCCTGAGGCACCGCCACTGCTACCAAGGCCATACAAGTGGAAACACAATGACACACATTATTCAACTGTCACCCAACAGTGGACATGCACACACAAAAAGCCACTGACCCATAGAGTGCTCACGTGGCAATCACAAGATAGAAAGATGGGAAGGAAACACCATCCCTTTGCTTGGGAAACCAAGCCAGAAACTTTGACCAGAAATCTTGGAAAACTGCCCTAACCACAGAAATCAAACTCACTCTTCAATCGCTTTGCCCACCACCTTTCAGGCTGTTGGGTAGAAAAGGTTCATTCAGCTTTGTATTTTCTCATCAAAGCCACTTTCTGAGATTTTTCCTTGTTTATATGCTAGCAGGTACATTGGGAGAGAGCCTAACACTTCTAGACCGCTAACAAAATGAATACTTGAGGCAATCTATGGATCTGGGGTCTACAGGGTATGAATAGTGAGTCCCTAGCTTTTATTGGGCTGGGACAGAAATATAGCTCTTACAATCTTGTGTTAGATCTCTGGGGTGCACTAGGCGAGACACAAATAGACAAAAATATGCAGTGATTTTGTAACCATGTAGTAAACATGGGAGTTTTTCAGGATAAAGCAGATACCCAAGAGTATCAGATTCCAAGCTCTGTTGGTACCCAAATCCCCACCTGTTCCATCTTGTGCTGTTGGTGTCACTGGGAGGGACCATCCTCCCTGCACACTGTGAAGTGGCCACTCAGGATTTTTCATGAGCTGGAATTACATTGTAAACTGAACATCTCAAGCTATTCTGGCCAGCCAAGTCTAAATGCATCTCATTCTCAGACATAAAATCTATCTTTGGGAAGTTGAGCGTTTTCCCTGCCAAAAAAATGTCAAGTCTCAGAAAGTGTTGCAAATTTAAAATTGATGAAAGAAAACTGTCGCTGTCAGCTCAATCAAAACATTTCATTTCAGCAGTGTTGGGATCATTTGCATTAATTGAACTTGTGCTTTTTGTGCAGGCAGGTACAATAGGTGACTTCCCAGGGGCTGCTTCTGACTACGTTGCACTGTGATTTCTGTGATTCCAGTTTCAAAAAGAAACCTTTCAAACCAGGAAAAACCTTTTTCTTTCAAAAAATGTTGAAGCTTGGCTGATTTCAAAATAGATCTCAGCCAGTTATAGAAAGTTTTGAATGAGGTCTGGACTCAGTAGATTAGGAGATTGCTGCCAATTCTTTGTGCCTTTGAAACAGAGTGGTAAGAATGATTCACGACGTTAAGTGACAATTCTGACAGAACCGACTTTATCTTCTACTTTTGGCTTCAATGAATCAGTGTTTTCATGCGTGTGGTGGGGGAAATATGCCCAAGTCTTGTGTACAAGATAAAATGCTCCAAATAGTTTGATTTAATTTCCAGTATTATGTTAAAGAGCCAAACAGTGCCTTACTTGCTCTATTCCACTGCCACTCACCATCCATCTCCGGGGATATTACTGTACAGTCATTTTTCCTATCCCAAGTTCTTGATCCCCAAATAATCTTGTGACAGTAAGTTTTACAGCTAGTCACATGCCTGTAAAAAAAAAATATATTGCTCTTTATAATATTAAAATAAGATGCATCTAGCCGCAACACAGTGCACATTCTGCTGTGAGATGAGGAAAAAGGCAGTCAAGTGCTGGAATAATAAGAGGTGTTGCCATTGTAGGGAGGGAGCAGTATTTTTCACTGATACAAAAGAGCAGTGTTTCATTGGCAGGGAAGGAAATGAGTCTCCAGATTAAGGAATCAAGGCTTTAGCTTTTAGTGTGAAAGGCAATGGAAGCAGCAGGTAGCCCTTCTCCCCAGGACAGCTTTTTGCAAGACATTCTACAGAGAGGTTTTTCTCTCTGAGTGTGCAAGAGCTCTTATTCTGATGATCCCTGTCTTGCTTGAACCACCTTGTCCTCAGGTCCCCTCCATCTTAGTAGGCACCAGCATTCAGTAAGTGGGTGCGTTTTTTAAGTTCTTACAGTTCTGTTAATTAGCTTGAGTTAATTTGCTGAGCCCCACAACCCTATTAATTCACATCCTTTCCAGTGTTCATCCATTAGCTGTAACATCTTCAATATGCTCACTGCAGCTCAAGCCATAGATAGAAGTCCAAGGTCATCCTTCAGGTTTTCTGCTTTTCAACATTCATAATAAAAGAGATGCTGCCCTTGCCTGGCACCATTTCAACTAAGCATCTTGCTGAGCTTTACAAACTGCAATTAATCCCAAGACATGCTTTTGAAGGATGGTATTTTCACCCCCCATGATGGCTAGGGGAACTGGTGGAGAGACTTACAGCTGACTTTTGCTTTGTAAGCTTGGAGGCTTCCATTTCTAGATGAGAGAGCACGAGAGGGAGAGTGGTGGGACTCAGCAGTGCAAACTGGCATGATGACTAGATTGCTTCACTTGCTTCCCCCCATGCAAAGGGCTGCTAGAGCTGTGGGCGGGTGGTTCCTGAACAAGACCTGCCCTTTATCAAATGCCTGCACTTCCCTGGTCAGGAGTGATGCTGTGCACGGCAGAAGTCAAGAGTATGTTTTGGCATATTCTACCATCCTTGCTTCTTATTTACCACTGCAGCCTTCTCAAAAACACATTGCAAAGCAAAAATGCTGCTTATTGCTCCTGACAGCAGGATCATGGACGAGTTGAAAGTCACTGGACTTGTGCCAGGTTTCCCCTCTGTGGGAAGGGGGGAATCTGTGCAAGCATGCCACAAAAACCTTCCTTCAGCTTTTCTCTCCCTGCTCCTTCCCCCTTGTGCACCCCAATTCCTCTGCCCTTGCACTTTTAGATACCACTGAAGCTGTGTTTGACTTCATCCAGAGGAGCCGAAGGATGATCGTGGTCCTGAGTCCCGATTACTTGACAGAGAAGAGCATCAGCCTTTTGGAGTTCAAGCTGGGCATCATGTGCCAGAATGCCATCGCCACCAAGCTTATCGTGGTGGAATACAGGCCACTGCAGTGCACCCACCCCAGTATCCTCCAGCTGAAGGAGTCCGTCTCCTTTGTCACCTGGAAGGGAGAGAAGTCTAAGCGATCTGGCTCCCAGTTCTGGAAGGCATTACGGCTTGCCCTGCCTCTGCGCAGCTTGAATGCCGGCACCGGCTGGAATGAGAGCTGCTCCTCCCAGTCGGACATCAGCCTGGACCCCATCCAGAGGAAAAGGAGCCGGTTGAAAGGGCAGCCTAACCCACGGGGTGCCACAGCAGTGACTCTTGCTCCCGGAGGGACAGCCACAGCCCCCAAGTCAAAGGCCAGACATGGAGCCAAGCACTTCTTGATGTGCCGGTGTTGTGGGACCTATTGCAATGGTGGCAGCAGACTCAAGCGCAAGCATCGGGCTGTGGCTGAGCACAGGTGGGACACTCAACTCTGCAAGTCGGGTTCAGGCAGACCCACAGCACAGGGGGTTCAGGGCAGAAGTCGACCTGACCCCCCATCAGCACAGGCTCCTGGTCTTGCCCTATGCCATTACAGTGACCTGTCAAACAACAATGACTTCTATGTACTTTAGCCAAGTGGCTGATGGCACAGCAGGTTCTGGGCAGCAAAAGGAACTCACTGCAGCCTCAGCTAAGTTTATTTTATGACATGGTGTTTTTCACCACCAATGTCAGCATGAGGACTGCAGCAATATCACCAGTGCTGGTGATCTGAGCCAGGGACCTGCAGCCACACAGAGCAGTGGCTGGGGGCTGCCTGCCCAGGTCCCTCTCCTTTATTTAAATTGTAAAGTGGAGCTGAAAATGTGTTTCTCTGGCATTGCTTTTCCCAGCTGTGGTTGTGTTTGCCTCAGGACTGCTGCTGGGGTCAGCTGTGGGAGGGCAGGTCTCCAGATCAGGGGTCAGAAGGGAGGAGGTGGAAGAAGCTGTGCTCCTGGAAGTAACCTCTGGAGAAGGGAGTGCAAGCCTGCATTTTGCAAAGGATAAAACTGTGCTAATGAAGGCAGGAGTGCACTGTGCAGTATGGTGTGTTATCCGCTGTTGTTTAAAACAACTTGGTCAAAAGTTTAAAGACAAGTCCCTTCTCTCTAAATAAAACTGATTTCTTTAACTTGTTGTTGTTACAAGTACCATCAGAACTGGTAAATGTTGGAACCATATTCATCAGGCGGTGCCTGGGGAGGTGGTTTGCCCAAGCTGGCCGAGGTCCCCTCCTGTTCCCAGTGCTTGCAGTGGGCTCCTGGGCTCGGTCCCTCTCCCAGCTTCACCATATGATGAATTTGTTCTGTCAGTTGCATGACCTTTCAAGCAGCAAGAAAGAAAACCATTACAAACCTAGGGAAATGGGATTTAAAAAATTCTCCAAGTAGTCAATGAGCTCAGGGATAGGAACAAGACCTCAAATGCTCACAGAAAACCTGAGGGGCTGAAGCTGAGGGGGTCAAAACTCAACTACACTTCATTAAAAACCAGAAAGAGTCTTTGAAGAGTCTCCCTGGGGCTGCTGTTTCATCAGCCCATTGAGATGGCTGTCTGCGGTGTTTGCCACTCTTCACCTGCAATGAAAACTTCATTTGCTTCATTCTGCTTTGTACAATGACTTCTCTCCCCACCAAGGAAGGGAGCTAATCCTGGGAGTCAGCCACTTGCCTTTATTGATGCTCGGACATGCCAAACAGGGCAGTACACTGCATTTGTTTTCCTGAGACAAAAAAAAAGGGTCTCCTTCACCACTCTGTTCAGTCTAGTTGTTGCCTCTCAGGCTGGCAAGTAATTATTTTACTTCTGCCTTGGAAATATGAACTGAGCCCTGGGGTACAAGGTCTGTGGCCTTCAGGACACACCCTTATCTGATGTCCTTAGGTGCAGCCCAAGTGAATCTGCTGGACATCTTGCTCATTTTAATATTGCTGAAGCCCAGTTATAGCTCACACATTGATTTCCTTCCCACAACAGCCCCTCTTCCCTAGGATTGCCCAGACTTTCTTGAACCTTCTCAGATCAAGTACAGCTGATGGCTCTCCTATGCTGCAACAGACCAAGAAAACAGGAACCAAAAAAACTACTGTTGGGTTGATATAGATAAAACAAGGGTACCCCACCCCACCCCCCCCCCCCCCCATGTCATAGGAATTAGAAATTTAGACTCCAGAGAACTCTCCAGGAGTGAATTTCTCCATAATCGCAAGCAGACACATTGTAAATTGCTCAGGAAAATTTTGCCCGTATGTGGCCATTCTCAGTGATCAAAGAGAAGCAGAAACGAGATATTTGGGAAGTAAACTGATGAATTGTAGAACGCTTTGTGAGAAGTAATATAAATACCATTAAACGGTTAAATGGTTCCAGTTGCTTACAACTAGACATGGCACGATACTCATTCTGGTAGAGCTGAAAACACAAGCTACAAAATACAAATACTTTGCAATCAGCCATCCTCCAGAGTCAGCATATGTGTTATTTGTTGGCATTTAAACAGCTTTTATTTACAGACTTTGCCCTTATTTGACTGTGTTGTTGTCTCAGTCAACTACAGCAAACCAAAGATGCAGGAAGCAACAGCTGGAGCTTCTAACAGATATACAGAATGCGCAAATCCAGCCTTTTGGCACAAACTGTCAATTCTTCATGAAAGAGCAAATATAAACTGGCAAGGACCTTTGCTTCTCCTGTTGCTTCAATAGAGCTAGTACAATTTTACTACCCCTTTCCTAGACACCAGATGGACCCAGAGCTTTGGTTGCTCTCGTAACAAATAGAGACATGGTGGATTTCAGTGTGCGCAGAGACTTTGCCCCCTGAGGCCAATGTCCCAGAGCCCAAAGGCACACCATACTGGGTGGGATGTTGCAGCAAGAACACACAGACCAAACATGAGAAACCTTCCATTTTATTTGTCTCTCATCCTAAGCATGTTGCTTAGAAATATCTACGAATGCCAGCATGAGCTCCTGCTTTAAGACCAGAACAAACTCTTCAGAGAGTTGAATTCTGTTCTCTGAAAATCAGTTACAACTTGTTCATGTCTCATCTGACACTAACTGGTGCAGATGGACTGTAGTTACTGCTTTCTTCTCTGGTATACATGTATTTGTCAGTTGTATAAATAAAAATGCAATCATCTCCAAAGTTAACAGTCAGAACAATATTATAATCCCCTTCACCCCACCCATACCTCTCTAGAGAACTGTTCAGAGGGGAGCAGAGATAGTATATATGGAGAAATTCTACTCTACCCTAATATACCCTAAATACCCATACAACTTTGTGTATTCTGCTTAAGGCATGTACAAGACAAGCAGGTCATAATGTGCACAGCAATTTGTGCAATATTTCCACTGTCGCCTAGATGGTTTTAATCCGTGAAAGGCTGGTGGTGTAATGAAGACACTGAACAGAGCTAGCTACACAGTTAGGGAACACAGGCAAGTTAGTCCATCTCAACATCAACCTCTCTTTGCCTCAGTGACTGCAAAGCTCTGGTACCCAGGAGGTGTCTCCCTAGGAAGTTCTACTGGACATGATAATAATGGGCTGCTCCTCACATCTTAAATGTTGGACGAATCACTAACCTGCAAGAACTTAATAAAATTTTCATCCTAACATCAACAAGATCTTTATTTTCCCCTATTACACTAGTTGCTGATCTTACAGCATCTGATTGAAGAGTATTTATAACATACATTTTCCCAAATAATGACAAGATTGTGAAGAAACCAACAGATTCCAGAAATAGGGAAAAATGTTTCAGACCTTTAATCCTAGATCCACATCTATTTATTTATTTATTTATTTCTCCCATGATCAATTCAGCATAATACCTGTGAAGGGAGGCAACACCTCTAGGATAGTGTCTGCCCAGTTAGGATAGTGTCTGCCCAGCGTGACATACTCAGTGTAAGAGTATTACCCAGATACCCACGTCAAACAGGCAAGGGTACGCAAGAGGGTACACCTACAGCACAGAGCTGCAGCCTGGGGGACGTAAGCCTGCTCACCACCATTTGGCTTCAGCTGGCATCTAGGAAAATGTGTTGCTGTTCTGGAAATGCATGAGGTAAACCACTGCAGCAGGAGTAAGGAGAAACATCAGTGAATGACCCCATAGCTGCCTACTCAAATCCATGTGAAAGAGGCAAGGTTTGATTCTTGTTCATGCTATATACCGTTACTGATCAGTCCAGGGAGACGCTGCAGCTTTAAAACAACATAATAACTGCACCACTTAGGCCCCTTTTGCAAAGATGTTAATGAGATATATAAACGTTGCAGAATGGTTTCTAGAGTAATATGACTTTAATTCTTCATAATAGCAGACACGGTAATGGCCAGACCATCAGGAGACACAACATTTACACTGATATGCCTGTAATTAGGCTAATGATTTTTACCTTACTAAAACGTATCTGCCACAAAGTTATTTGGCTTGGAAACATCAAAGTGGTTTCCCACTCATCACTATTTGTTCAAGTGAATAATCAGCCTCATCCTTAATATCATGCCTGATTGTTTTTTTGCCTGGCTTTTGCTTCCGAACAGAGCTCTTGTTCTACCTTTCTCTGCTACAGCAAAGAGACTTCTCACGTATTTTAATGTGGCAATTCATTGCCTGTGATAGGATTGTTCTCAAGTTTTCCAAAAGGTTCTTTTCCTTTGCTGTCATTTTCAGACCACGGGTGCCAGAGAAGTCTCCTGTTGCCTGGGCTGCACAAGGAGGGGAAGTCCCTGACCCATGGTTATCGACTGCTTCCCACTGACTTTTTCCTTTATGCCACCACACCTCAGTGGGAAACCAGACTTCATTGCTCATCCATTCCAACACGTTTCCAAGGAGGTGCTATGGCTGAGGTGCCCCCCAGCACTCTGCTGGCATAATCTTAGAGACAAATATATTGTTACACTGCAGTGTATCTGCCTGGGGCCAGTTCATCAGGCAATCCAGATCACGTTGCACGCTTGGTGAAGCGGGAAATAGCGATAACAGACAATCTTTGTGCCATCTGCCACGGTTGTTAGCTAATGATGTTTTATTTATCTCTAGATCAGCCATGAAGACACTGACTCCCACTAGAAACATGTTCAATGACATGTTCTCATCTTTTGAGATCTACAGGTTAATGAATGAAGAACCAAAACTTTGCTGCTGATGTGCACAATGGAGTGCTTGCAAAACTCTACTACATCTAAATACCCAGAGTTATTATTGATGGAAAAATGTCATTTGGGAATATTTGCTCCCATCAAGCTATCAAGTTGACTGGCTACCGATTAATTATACTGGCACTTTGAAGTTCTACATGTGGGCAATTCCATATTGACCCATCTGAAAATGAGCCTGCAGTAACACATACAGATTCATAAAGAACCTTAGTTTCCCATTCAAAAGAAATCACACTATTTTGTTTTGTTTTGTTTTGTTTGTTTTTTTCTCCTCTCTTCTCATCAAACAGAACACAAAGAGCACAAGATGACATCAGAATTTTCCATGAAATTTTCTTGGCAATCTATATCCACAGCAAATGAAAAATGTTTGATTCTCATTTTAGCTTCTATTTTCTATAACTTACTCAAACATGTTTTGAAATTTTTTTTAAACAAAGCTAAAAATATGCTATGCCAAGAGTGTTAAAAACATGTTGGTATTTCACTTCTGTTTTGCTTACAGCATGCTTTGTTAAGACTAATCCCTTCTAAAACATTTAAACTTAAATGAAAACAGTGTTTTCCTTTGAAAAGCAGCTTTCATTTTAAACACACCATCAGATCTGAATTGATTATCAAGCTTGCCTGTTTCTGCATATTAGCCCAGCACTCTCAGTTTTCAGTATTTACAGTTTCCCAGTCCTCTAAGATTTATTAAAGAATTAGGTCAGTGATACCATGAGCTTCACAACCAGCCCTCTAGCAATTGAAAAGCCTCCAACTGTATTCTTACAGCTAGCTGGAAAAAATCAACATGTTTGCATATCAGATCGCATCAGCAACTCAAATCTCACTCATGTTTGTGTATCAGGACCCAGAACTTGGCTGTGGATAATGCCTTACTACCTCTTTCCTCCTGTATGTTGCCAACACAAATGGAGATGTCTCTGAAGACAGTAATCCACGCCTTCTGCTTTTCTCATGCTCTTTTGATGCACACTCTTGCCAGTTAAAGAAATTTCTGCTCCATTCATGCTTCCTTTTTAATTGCATGCCCCTTTCTGGAGGCAGGCAAGAGTAACATCTATTATTTTGTTTCACATCTTTGCCTTGAAAGCATCTGCTCTACTCGCGGTGCGCAAGAGAGCAGCTGCTTGCTCCCATTCAGTGTCAGCCTCACTGGCACATGTTCATTTACCTGCATATAACATCCTGATGGAGTCAGACAGTATTTCAGACTCAGTCATTATACCCTTCAGACTGGCACACATAAAACAAGAACTGAAAATCCCAAACCTCACAAAAACAAATAATTACCTACTGCCCCCTCATATCCACATCTGTTTTGAATGGTTTTATCCACTCCACCAGCACAATCCTGCCAGAGTTCTAGTTCACCCAAAGAACTGTAAATGCTTTTGCCTATCATTTGGGCACAAAGCTGGACCTGAATAGGGAAAAATGAAGACATCTGGGTTATATCAACATCTAGTTACCACCCAGCTCCTCAAATAACCATCAGAGCTCATATAGGGCTGCTCTATTAATACTGGGTGCTACCTTCCTGCTTGCTTGGCTTCATGCTTCCTTCCCCCTTGAGGTCCTTAAGGATATAGTTTAATAAATGCCAATAATGTCAGCAGAATCCATTCATATCACTGTAATTTTAAGTATTTATTATAGCTTTTTTTTTGGATGTATAGAAATAGACCCAAGTAACTAGGCTAAATTACCTTTTCCCTGGGGACACCTTGCACTTCTGTTTTGCTTTGCTCTTATCAGTAAGCCAGACCTCTCCCCCATGCTCCCTCTCACTCTTACACACAAATGTCATTGGGAAGATGCCCAGAGCTTACTTCAAACTTAATGCTTTGCCCAGTGTGGCTCAACTGCTTGCAATTCCTCTTACATGAATGACCCAAGGTAAACTAGATCAAGATGATTTAGCTTCCTATCCTAATTTCTAATTTAAATACACCTCTTTCTTGCTGGCCTGTATCTGTGTATTGTCATGCACACAAGTAGCAACCAGGTATTTCCAGCTGCTCTGCACACCTGTTTATTACAGGGAGACAGACTTAGCAGGTGATTGGAGCTCACCATCCAGCTGTACTCCAGCCTACCTGCTTGCTTTCTTTCTGTCACTGAAAAATACAGCAGCTTACCTCCTGTCCTTATACCCCTCTGCCATGACAGTATCTGGACAACTCTACTTCCAGCATATTCTTCCTTTCCATCTTCACGGGTAAGGAAGTGTGTGCCAGGTGCTACACAGATATCAGAAGACACCTTTTGCTCTGATGAGGCTCTATGCTTATTTTGTATCATCCTGGATGCCATACATAGCATGACAGCAAACCTCCTGAAGGTATACTAAGTCTCCCCAGTTTGGCCCTGCATACAGTGAAGGGGTCAACACAACAGATGCTTCTGAGCAGTGGCTTCATCAACAAGCATGGTCCAAATCTGTGTACAAATGCCCACCTGCCAGTTACCAGATTAATGCTGGAGCATCTAGATCCGAGCAGCCTGCAGGGTGTCACTTCTTGTCACCAAATGTTTCAGTTTGGTGGGTAGTTTATATTTAGTCTCTAGTAGGTGATGTTATGAAAGGAGATGGAACAAGGAAAAATGTGGCAGAGAAAATAGATGACATGATTACAATAAAAAAAAGTATTCATCCTGGCATTTTCAATTGAATTTTATGACAGAGTTAACTTTTCTTGAGGGCATGATGAATACAGTACTTGGCAGGCAAATAGAAGCTCTCCATTATAGTACTACAAAGTGAAACTGTGGCCACTCATTTCACAGACTAAAGACCCTTTTTTTCTCTTTTTAGCCAACGCTTTTAAGAAACACTAACATAAGAGAGAAACTTGTCCAAAAGCAAGGACTATTGTTGAGAATTCACAGCTCCCTGGCTGACACCTTAGAAGCATTCACCATTAGCTGCTGCCACCTTTATCACTCAACTGGAGCAACTACTGCATTGCTTGATTTTCATTTCTCTCCTCTCAGGTTGGTGTTCGGCCTTTCTTTTTAAATACCAGGTGCTGTAACCTCCCTCCCCTTAACTAGGGGTAGTCAGAAACTCTTCCTACCTCTCATCCCTGGTTGCAAAAGCAGAAGAGACAGGATTAACACTAGAATAGTTACACTAAAATTTTCCTTCACTTCTGAAAGTTAGAAAGCACCAAATAATTGAGTAGCATTATGAACAGGAGGTAGGTAGAAACCTTGCAGTAAGTCCCACCTGAAGCAACTCCTTTGTTGCCTCAAGCAATTGCCTTAAGGGTCACTAATCAGGCAATGCTTATAATTACATCAGCTGTGTCTGAGGTATATAGCTAGGCAAGCAAGCCTTCAAAGAAATTACTGAGATGCAGGGTTGTTTGAAGGGTATCATCATATGTTTGTTTTGGAAGTAGAAGTTGAAGGCCACCAGAAATCAGTTTTCCTGTGGGTTGCTATGGTAAAGTATGACTTATTGTCTTCCTTCAAGAAATAGAATGAGAAGTGGGCATCTGAGTGTTTCCAGATGCCTTACTCTAGATAATTGCCTCTGGTTACATAGAGATTTCATTACAGAGCAGAGAGCCAAATTTTGCTGCTATTAGGCTTAGTCTGCTTAGTTGAAATATAGGGTTTGCATTGTCTCTATGGAAAAACTGAAAGGAAATGTGTTGCTGCTTCTCTGCTCTGTTCAAAATTAGCCCCTTTAGGTTTTGGGATCCAGATTCCCAGTACTTGCAAAGCTGGCTAGACAAGACTGCTCTCTCTCCTGTGTATCTTCATGTCCTGTTACGTGCCAAATGGATGTTTTGACTAGTGAGCTCAGTAGTCTCTAATGTTTGTTCTCCCTTTCCATGTCTTTGTGAAGTTGGTTTTTTATATGAAGCTCCCCTAGACCAGCTGTTGCAATGCACAGGGTATTCTGAACAATCTCAGTCTTTTTCAAACCACGCTATATATTTTTTCCTTTCCTTTTTTTTTTTTCTTTTTCCCTGAGTGTTCACTGCTTCTCTGCTGGCCCATTTGGTTTTAAAGAGATGAACACAGAATCTTACAAATGCCTGAAACTGTTTTCATGACTTGCTCTGTGCAGAAGTAGTTGGATAATCAGTAACAATAAATATGTGACATCCATAGCCAGTTTGTACCTTTCCCAGTGTGGAATCAGCTGTAGCTCTCTGATTCACAAACTGGGAGTGGATCACACCTTTCTGGAGTGCCTGTAGAGAGCGTGTGTGTAGGAGGGCAAGGTGGAGGTAAGCAATGTGAGCAGGCTATTTTGTCCCGATCTGTATTTTCAGAGATGCTTGGGCTTCTAATAGATGACTTCGTATACGAGGGTGAAAGGTCCATGGCTTTTTTTTTTCCCTTTTAGTTGGAACCTTCTAGCAACTGTGCATCCCTGTTAACTCTTGCTGTGTTTCCAAGGCTGGACAATCATCTACAGAGACTAGTGGTGTTTTCTGTAGATGGAGTGAGACAGTGCCCTTCAGGTGCAGCCTAAAAGGCAGGTTATCCTCATAGGAAATGCAACCAGCAGTTTGCACTTCTCTCTGCATCAAGCACATGCCAGGAAGATCAGTAGATGGCTGGCAGGGGCCCTTCAGGTAGTATGGCAGCATTCGGCTTGGCTGTGGATTGTCCTGCTTGGAGTATAGAGAGATGGCATTCACCTCTCATGGGCACTGGGTTCATTCACATCTCTGCCACAGGATGACACACACTGCCATCTCAATAAGGCAGCTCTTTTGAGATGTTTTGCTTGCCCTGGATGCTCCTGCATAGAGGCGTCGGCTCCTATTGTGTTAATGTGCATCTCAAGAGTGCTGTGATATTTACTCTGTGCTCAGGATGGGAGCTCTTCTAGCTTCCCCCACCTACTTCACATGCAGATGCATACACTTCAAGCTGTCCAGTGTATCTCAAGAGTGAAAAGTATTTGCTAAAAATATTTATGCAGAAGTTATTTATGGTCTGGCCCACATCAACCCTGTGGCAGCCGTTACACAATGTCACACAAAAAAGCCCTTATCTGGAGGAGCACACATCCAGTTTTACAGCCCACAAGTTACCAAGAGACAATCCTACTGACTTTTTAATCAAAACCAAGGAATCTGGGGCCTGGACATTCAATTTAGGTGTCAAAACTCACCAAGCAGGCTCTGCCAAGCTGCTTTCTCATGCCTCCCAATTCAGAGGGGAATCTAGTAGAGAGGATCAGAAAACATTGCACTACTCCAAGACATGATACTTTTCTCCCAGAAAGCTGGGGGTAGGCAAAGCACATATTCCTAGCTGGAATTTAGCTCAAGGTTAGAATTATTTATCTATATGTTGTAGAAAGCACTGCAATAATCTGTGGAAGGGGAAGGAGACTTGCTCCTCCTCTGATGCTGGGCACAGAAATCAGGTTTGTGTCACAAATGCACTTCACTGCTAGAGTTCACATCTAACCTAGATGGTGTTTGGCTCAAGCTAGTAAGGTATGGAGAGTCTATAAAAATCTATAAGAAAAAAATTATTCAAAATTCAGTGCAAGGGAGGTCCAGCCTTTTATTCTGGACCATCTCCACCTTCATATAGCTCTTCTGAGTACATTTATGGTCTTCAGCGGCCTCATGAGTGCTGATCTTTAAAGGTCTGTACTGAAGTTTCCAGCTTTGCCTATTATGGCAAGGACATAAGAAGTGAGCTTATGCAGGTAAGAAAGCAGAAGATGCTCTCAATGTAATGACACTGGTGGGATGCAAATGTGCTACAGGAATGGCAGGAATATTAGCACTTCCCTTCCCAGACGCTCAGTACCAGTGCTCATGAGTCAGTGGTGGTTAGAACATAATTCCTCAGTTTGCTTATGAGATGGCAGAAGGGGGGAAAAGCATTGAAAGCCTTACTGATCTCAAGCTAGGATTGCACACATGGGTTTCCCCTTCTTCATCAGGCTACTTGCCTTCTCCAAGAATTCAGATTGGTTTGACATCCTTGTTTTCATCAAATCCCTGGCGGCAGGTCCTTATCATTTCATTACTTTTGGTACTAATGACTGGATACTCAGTAATACCTTGCATGTCCTGGCTTCTGGAAAGGCTAGTCCTCAGGGCATCTCTCTGCCCTCTTCTTAAGATACTGTGTCCTTTTTCACTCCTTTAAGACTCTGCTGTCGTCTTCGCTTCCTGGAATGCAATCACTAATGGTTCAGAGATTTAGTTCAGCTAATTCTTTGAACACTCTAAGGGGAATTGCAGTAGCCCTTGACAGCTGGAATACATGTTTTTTTTAAGTCTGGATGTTTCTGTAAATCATTCTTCCACTATGATCTTTCAGAGTAACCTATTCCCTTAATACAGATAGCCATCTTAATTGCTTATTAGAATTTACTTGTTTGTGAAAAATATTCATTTTGAGTACTTTAGCTTTGTCATCGCGGGTATGTTTGTTTTTGGGGGTTTTTCTTGTGGGCTTTTTTTTTGTTTGTTTGTGGGGGTTTTGTGTGTATGTTTTTGTTTGTTTTTTTTTTGTTTTTTGTTTGTTTGTTTGTATGTTTGGTTTTTTGAAGGTTTGGTTTTTTTTTTCCCTTGTTTGCTTCTTTTCCCCATTAAGATGTTGAGATGTTGGTAACACCTTTTGTCACAGCCGGTTCCTCTTTGTCATCTTGCACTTCCACCTCCCTTCTTGTGGATGGCCAAACCAAAGTGCTGCTTCCTCAGGACTCCTTATAAAAAAAAAGGACAAAGAAACCTTCAGGAATGGAGAATCAGGTGGGATATACATGCTGGTAACACCTGCTCTTGGAAAGATCTTCATGGGACTGTGGGACTTAATCAGCAGCACTTGGGTGCAGATGGACAGCTCTGAAAGAAGCTTGTGCCCTGTTATACATTTGCTAATTTTAGTACTGCTAGATCTGCCTTGGGCAGATTACAGCAGTGTTCAGCCAAACCTGTCTCTGTGTTATCTGGGTCCTCCAGGCTGAGGACAGCAGCATTTGTGGAACTCCCACCAAAGAGCCGAAGTAGCCTCATGCTGTCCCAGCTGTGACCAAGCCTACACTGCAGCCCTGCATAGCTGGGTCTGCCTAGCAGTAACACTTGGTTATTATCAGAAGCAAGACATTGAACACTTGGTTATGGAACTGCCGCTTCTATGTCTCCAAAGGGTAAAAAAAACAAGAAAATGTTTTAAAAGCCTCAAAATCATAGTTTTAGTTTATCTGATTTTGGAAGGATTGTCTACATTAGTTTATAGTCCTTGGGATGGTAAAGCAAAGTGTGGATAGAAATCCATATGCACTGTAATTGACAGTGAATGCAGCTAAATGGAGTTTGCCCATATAAGAGCAGCCCATGTCTTGCAGATACCTTATGGTTGTATCTACCTGTCTTTAAAACTAACCTAGCAAGAGCAGGGCCATGCTCAAGTCGAACTGCCTCTGTCTCACACTGCTGGATGCTATCTCTAGTGGCTGCTGGGGCCAGGAGCTCTTAGACAAAAGCACAAAATTTATACAGCAACCAGTCTTTTGCCATGCACGCACTGCAAGTAATGGTTATTCATGGCGTCATAAAGTTAGAAATCACGTAAGACCACTCCTAATCATCTGCTGCTCTTCATCAAGTCACTGAATCCATGGAAGAGCCCAGTACAGACATGGCCCAGCAGAGTTTGGAGAGCTGTAGCTGAGAAAAGCCCAGCAGGAAACAATTTCTGAAAGTGAATTTTGTGTAGAAAACCACAGAAAAGGAGCATCCTTAAAAAAAAAAAGCAGGTGCTAATAAACACTCGATATCCAGCATGGATATGGAGCTGGCAACCAGAGAGCGGTTTCAGACATAGCTACAAACTTCATGTCTTCCCCAGTTTCTTCCAAATCCTTCTGCAGAAAGTATAGGTGATCTAACAATCGGAGCCAAACTTGTCTCTCCCTACCAACAGTATCCCAGGTAATGACACAGATTTGAAGAAAATCCTAATTAAGACTGAGTTCTTAGATGCAGTTGTACGCATTGGAATATCCAAATAAAATAGGTTTCAAAATCAGTAACTGAGCAAGCCCTTTAATGAAGTCTCACCTTTTTCACAAGTCAGTTGGGATGGATTTTTGTTTTGTGTGTTGTGGTTTTTACTCATTCTACTCAGTGGTGTGAACGAGTGGCTTCCAGCCTGCCTGGAACATTCTTTGTTAATCTTTGCACAGATGCTCAAGACTATTTATAGGCTTCAGTTTTCCTTTAAAATTCATTTATGGTTCCAAATTATTTTTTTTAGTTAACATTACTATTCAAAGTGTCTTTCCTGATGTTCTTTTCTGAGTACTTGAGAAAATGCTAATACTTACTCATCAAACCATCTAGATGGATTTTGAGTTTCTGTAAAATATTTTATATATAAAACCAGAAAAAAACATTTTTCTATCACTTGATCAGAACCCTATTTTCTGACCACAACAGTTGACCGTATAAG